TGGCCCAGGACTGTGCTGATTCTTCCTGAAGGGAAACTCAAGAGGCAGGTTATGAACTGCATTGCAGCTCCTGTAGCTTTAGTTGATCTCAAGACCTCACCTGGTCTTAAGCCTCTACTTCCTCCCACTATCCATTCTGAATTTCCTTCATCTATCAACTTGGCAGATCATTGTAGCTTAACTGGTAGTCTGAACCAATCCTTTATTCTCAGGATAAACATTTTCAGGACACAGTTGTAATAAAGGGATAGCAAGACGACCCCAAGTGTATCATCTGGGTTTCACACGTTTCTCCCTGCCCCATCTGTGTGAAAACAGATCAAATGCCTCCTACTGCTCAACATCAATTACCTTTGCCAGCACGAAAACTCCCCTTCTCTTTTGCTTGTGCCTGGACATAAGTAGTCCAGGTTCCCTGTTGGCAGCCATAACTGCTAGCTCCATGGAACCCTTGCTGTGGTCCCTGGGAACAGTGCACAGTATAGTAGTTTCTGATTTAATACACCCACTGCATCTTGAATAATGGCACCAACTCATTTCAGAGTGTTGTCTCCAAGTTGGTGCTTCAGCTTTGCCTTTAAAAGGCTTCCTAATGCCCAGCAGATATAGCTTAGTGGTTGAGCATTGACCTATGAAACAGGAGGTCAAGGTTTGATTCCCAGTCAGAACATTTCTACCTGCATGAGATTATATTGGTAGCTTGCAATTCATATGAAGGGAGTATTTATATCACACTAGAGGCCAGGTGCACAAATTCATGCATGGGTGGAGTCCCTTGGCCTGGCTGGAGATTGGGGCCAATTGGGGTGGCTGGAGATTGCAGGGGGGAGGGGCTGTGGGAGGTTGGCTGGCTGGGGGGAGGGGCCACAGGAGGTTGGCCGCCCCGATCTGGTCATCCAGTTCAGTAAGCTGGGAAAGGGGCTGTGGGAGGGTGGCTGTGGGAACACACTGACCACCAGGGGGCAGCTCATGCTTGAGTGTCTGCCCCTTGGTGGTCAGAGCACGTCATAACGACCGGTCAACCGGTCACTTAGGCTTTTATATATATAGATAAATGAGAAAATGTTATAAATCTGTTTCCCCAGCAGAAAGAGCCAGTTGTTAAATATCTAACAACACATCACTGAGTATGTCATAACTCTTATGTATCCTTCACTCTGAAGTGGGTAACCTTGCTGTGTAATATGCTAGATAGGATTCTGGGTTTGTAGGTAAATATTCCAACCTTATAATGTTGGGTGAAGTTCTGTGGGCAGCAAAAACAAACAGTACCCAAAATAGGTATATACATCTGAAAAGGCACCTTACATGATAGAAAGGGCCCAATAGAATTACTTGCCGCCAAGTGAACAGTGCCACGTTGGACACCCACTGTTGCAGGTTTATGTATTAGGAGAGGTAGCATTCTTTAAATTGTGTTTAGACTATTTATTTGCATGCCAATGCCAAAAATGCAAAGCTTATGGCAGTATTTCAGATATAGCACCTCTGACATGGTGCCAGATTGTCTATAAAAACTATGGCTGTCTTTTTTTTTCTTTTTTTTCTTTCCTTTTTTCTTTGATAAGCTTTTGGTTAGTAGCTATTTCTCATTTATCTATTTTCTTATTTTATTTTTCATCTAGAGGCCTGATATGCACAAAATTTGTGCAGGAATAGGCCTTTCTTCCCCTGACTGCTGGCACTGGTTTCCCTCTGGCACCCGGGACCCGCTCTGGCTGCCAGCAGGCACCCAGGACCCAGGCAGTCCCAGCTTCATCCAGAAGGTTGTCCAGAAGGACGTCCAGTTTAATTAGCATATTATGCTTTTATTATTATAGATATGTCTGAGCTTTAACTACATTAGATATATTATTCATGTTTTAGTTTTTGTAGCATTTTCTATTGTAGTTTGCCTTTTAGGTTTTTTTAATTTAAATTCTTTATTGTTTAAAGTATTACATATGTCTCCTTTTTCCCCCTTGATCTCTCCCAGGCCATTCCCACCCCACTACTGTCTGTGTCCATAGGTTATGCTTATATGCATGCATACAAGTTCTTTCGTTGATCTCTAACACCCTCTCCTGCCCCCGCTGTCTTCCCTCTAAAGTTAGACAGTCTGTTCCATGCTTCTCTGTCTCTGGATCTATTTTTGTCCATCAATTTATGTTGTTCATTATATTCCACAAGTGAGTGAGATCATGTGATATTTATTTATCTTTCTCTGACTGGCTTATTTCGCTTAGCATAATGCTCTCCAAGTCCATCCATACTGTTGCAAATGGTAAGAGTTCCTTCTTTTTTATAACAGCGTAGTATTCCATTTGTGTAGATGTACCACAGCTTTTTAATCCACTCATCTGCTGGTGGGCACTTAGGCTGTTTCCAAATCTTAGCTATTGTAAATTGTGCTGCTGTGAACATAGGGGTGCATATATCCTTTCTGATTGGTGTTTCTGATTTCTTGGGATATATTCCTAGAAGTGGGATTACTACTCATGGACAGTCAGGAGACACTGACAAACATGGGCAGGCAGGTCATGGGCAATCCTCACAGTCAGGATCATGGCTTTTGAGTCCTTTCCCAAAGGCCTTTCAAGTCCATCTCCTCTTCTTTTCCATACAATCCAATAATTGCATTCTTTAGACCTCAGCACCCCTATGTTCATAGCAACACAATTAGATCTGTCTCCCATCAGGGCCCTGACACAGAGGGGGGCCTTGGCACTGCAGATCTTGGCTCTGGGCCTCAAAGGCCTGGATTGTGGGTACTTTCAGCAGCCACTCTGGTGGCTCAGTGCCGTGGAGGCGCCCCTTCATGGAATCGCCTTTTAGCTTCTTATGTTGTTTTGAGTTGTTAACTAAGGTGGTAAGTGACTCTCAGGTACAGCAAGTCCCTGACTTATGGTTTGACTTACAACTTTTCAACTTTATGATACTGCAAAAGCAATACCCATAACAAATTAAAGGAGATATTCAACACTTTATTATAAAATGGGCTTTGCATTACATGATTTTGCCCAACTGTAGGCTAATGTAAATGTTCTATGCAAGTTTAATGTAGGCTAGGCTAAGTTATGATGTTCTGTAAGTTAGATTTATTAAATGCATTTTTGACTTACTATATTTTCAATTAGCAATGGATTTATTGGGATGTGACCCCAATGTAAGTGGAGGAGCATTTGTATTTTGCTCATAATTATTCAATATTTATTTAAACATTTATTTTCAGAGTTCTCAACTACCTGAACTTAACTATTGGTGCTTCTCAGAAGCCTTTATTTTATGCATTTCCCAGGATGATATAAACTACACCTGACTTTAGGCTGTGACCGGGTTTATACTATCAGCCCAAATATCTCCTGTGCCAGATTTCTGCATATTCTCATATGAATGTTCCCCATTCACATCAAATAAAACAAGTACAGATTATACCTGTCAACATTCATTACCCCATTTATGTACTTGCCTAAAGTTAACAGCAACAACTATCCATATGATAGGCCTGAACTTGTTTTATTGCAAATACTTTCATCTCCCCTCAATCCCTTTGTCACAATGTCCTTAAATCTGCTATTTAACCCTCTTATAAGTGGAGGAGCATTTGTATTTTGCTCATAATTATTCAATATTTATTTAAACATTTATTTTCAGAGTTCTCAACTACCTGAACTTAACTATTGGTGCTTCTCAGAAGCCTTTATTTTATGCATTTCCCAGGATGATATAAACTACACATGACTTTAGGCTGTGACCGGGTGCTGATGACCCTATAGTTTATACTATCAACCTAAATATCTCCTGTGCCAGATTTCTGCATATTCCCATATGAATGTTCCCCATTCACATCAAATAAAACAAGTACAGATTATACCTGTCAACATTCATTACCCCATTTATGTACTTGCCTAAAGTTAACAGCAACAACCATCCATGTGATAGGCCTGAACTTATTTTATCGCAAATACTTTCATCTCCCCTCAATCCCTTTGTCATAATGTCCTTAAATCTGCTATTTAACCCTCTTTACATCTCATTGATCTTGTTCAAATGGCATTGCCTTTATCATAAAGAGGTTGGTTTCTTCCCACTCACTCAAATTATCTTTATAAATTTTCTATCCTAATCATTATGTTTTTTTTTCCATTTGTCAGATCAATCAAAAATCTTTATAAAAATGTTAATTTTCAATGTTAAGGAAATACTAGTAATAGGATTTTAAGGAATATATTCATTTTTACTGGATTTTTGGTATCACAAACTTGATTTTTAATAATTGAATAATACCTATATTATTATATTCAGTAGCATAAATACATATTTTCTGGAGTTAGACATTACAAATGTTTTTGATAAAGCAATCTTACAATTAGACTGATATTCATATGTGTGGTTTTCATTTAAAATCAGTGATATTTGTAATGCTTTTGCTACTAGACAATTATTCTAAATTCCTGACAGAAATCAGCAGATGATAATAAACAGCAAGAACTAGACATTATTAAATGATACATGAGATCATTATACTAATCTAGCCTTTGACTTATCCATCATTTCCCATCCAAAACTCTCTTTTGAAATAAAATTGCAGTTTCATTACTTTAAAAAATGTGGTTCTGCTCATACATTTTCATTAAAAAGACATTAACTTTTCAGAGAAATCACAAAAAGATTTAATATCTATTTGATTCTAGAATTCAAGGATAAATAAAACATGAACTGTTTATTTTTGTCAATTAAATTTACAAATCCTCTTCATCAAGTTCTTAGGTAAAAATGATTACCATTTATTTTCCTTATAATATATGAAGAAAGCCTATATTTTTATATTGTGAGAGTACATTTATTTCTTCATTTTGTTGTTTTATTTCACAGCAAATGGAAGTAATTGGGGATTTTAGAGATAGTGAACCTGGTTGTTATTGCAAGAGTTAAGCATAAGAAAGGATGAAAGTTAAATAGGGGGAAATTTCTCTACTAAATGTGTGGTGTTGGGACTGGTTCTGTTTTGCTTTACACAGGTGATTAAGGCAGTAGAGGAAGGTTACCGTCTGCCAAGCCCCATGGACTGTCCTGCTGCCCTCTACCAATTAATGCTGGATTGCTGGCAGAAAGACCGAAATAGCAGGCCCAAGTTTGATGAAATAGTGAACATGCTGGACAAGCTGATACGTAACCCAAGTAGCCTGAAGACGCTGGTTAATGCATCGAGCAGGTACAGGCCAGACCTGAGAGATTATCCTGAATTTAGCTAATTCACATTGATGCCACAAATTTTAAATCACTATGGACATAAATTAACCTCTAAATATGTATGATACTAATTTATTTGACTATCATTTTTTTTGCATAAAATTACTCTCTTACAATGAATGAAATATAAATGATTATACTTAAAAGCACATATACCTGCCCTAACTGGTTTGGCTCAGTGGATAGAGTGTCAGCCTGCGGACTGAAAGGTCCCAGGTTCGATTCCGGTCAAGGGCATGTACTGTGGATGCGGGCACATCCCCAGTAGGGGGTGTGCAAGAGGCAGCTGATTGATGTTTCTCTCTCATCAATGTTTCTGACTCTCTGTCCCTCTCCCTTCCTCTCTGTAAAAAATCAATAAAATATATATATTTTTAAAAAACACATATACCTAATCTAGTAGTGTAACATGCCCATATCAGAAAAATGCTAACTATAGCCAAGTTTAGGTAGTATTTTTTTAAAAACCAAAACACTCAAATGCATGTATTTCCATGTATATTGGACTCCACATAGGTGTGGATGGGGAAAAGGTAAAGTTATGATACCATAAGGAAAAGCCAAATAAGCACTGATCTATTTTACACTAGAGATATCTACCAATAATTACTTTTCATGTTTTTAGAATTTTTTTTAGTGTCTGTATATTTTATGAATATTGACAATGCTTTTAGTGACCCTTTACTCTTATCTAGTTGAACACAGACATGTGGCTAATCAAATATGAGTAATTTTGTGGCAAGATTTTATTTATATATATTTTTTCATTGATTTTAAAGAGGAAGGGAAAGGTAAAAACATCAATGATGAGAGAGACTCATCAATTGGCTGCCTCCTACTCGCCCCTACTGGGGATCAAGCCCACAACCCAAGCATGTGCCCTGACCTGGAATCTAACTGCATGACCTCCTCACTCATAGGTTGATGCTCAAACTGAACAACACTGGCTGGGCTTAGGA